AATGCATCAGTGCATGACAGTGAGTGAGAATAATCCCCAAGAAGGAACAGGCTGATGGTATTGGTACAATAGAATGGATGGTGTAATTTAGAAATGATTAGAATCTTAAAATTGTGGTTAAGAGTAGCTTCATAGCCGGGCACTGGTGGCTCACGCCTATAATCCTAGCTACTCAGGAGGCTGAGATCTGAGGATCGCGGTTCAAAGCCAGCCCGGGCAGGAAAGACCGTGAGACTCCTATCTCCAATAAACCACCAAAAAACCGGAAGTGGCGCTGTAGCTCAAGTGGTAGAGTGCTCGCCTTGAGCTGAAGAGCTGAGGGACAGCGCCCAGGCACAGAGTTCAAGCCCCACGACCGACAAAAAAAAAAAGAGTAGCTTCATTTTTAGAAGACTGTAGGAATGCCAACATTTTTAGGAAACAAGACATGTAGCTGGGCACCAGTGCCTAAGTCCTATAATCCTAGCTACCCAGGAAGCTAAGATCTCACGATTACAGTTCAAAGCCAGCCCCACCAAAAAGCCAGAAGTGAAGCTGTGGTTTATAGTGGTGGAGTACCAGCTAAGGGACAGTGTCCAGGCCTTGAGTTCAAATCCTAGTGCCGACACAAAAACAACAAAAAACCCCCAAATATTATGCATTGCATATACACCTTTATCTCCCCCTCCCCCTTCCCTGTCCCTTTCTCTCCCTCCCTCCCCCTCTCCCTCTCTCTCCTTTTCCTCCCCTCTCTCTCCCCCTCTCCCTCTTGCCCCCTCCCTCGCCTGTTGTGGGACCTGAACTCTGGACCTGGGCACTGTCCTTCAACTCTTCAGCTCAAGGCTGGTGCCCTACCACTTGAGCCACAGCACCACTTCTGGCTTTTTTTGCTTATGTGGTGCTGAAGAATCAAACCCAGGGCCTCATGTATGCAAGGCAAGCACTCTACCACTGAGCCACCTTCCCAGCCCCTACATCTTTCTCTCTTAAACCAGTATTTCTCAGTACCACATCACTCATTTCCCTATAGTCAGACTTAGAATTTGTCCTGTCTTCATTCCATTATTCTTCAGTTTTGCTACAGTGGCTTCTGCCGTCACTCATGAGACTCCCCTTTTCAAGGTTCATCTGTGATCATTGTATCTCAGATCCTATAGGGTTCTGTCAGATCTTCTTACTTGACCCCTCAGTTGGGTGTTATAAACCACATCCTTCTAGAAATGCGTTTTGGTGTCCATGACATCGCACCTTTGTGATGTTCGTTTGCTCTGGGCTTCTTTTCCTCTGTTTATAACTTTTTAAATCACATTCATCTAGATTCTATTCTATGCTTCCTTCACTCTTATGAATGATTTTCTTGTCTACACTACTGCTGAGGATTTACCAAGTGTTTGTTTCTTTTCTAGACCAAAGAGATTTTGAACAGATATCTAACAGCTTGTTGGATGTCTTGAAAACACATTAACAGCTACCTTCTGCTTTCATTAGTATACTATATGGCAGTATATGCTAGTTGCCTCAATCAGAAACATAAGCATTTTTTTTAGTTCCTATGTTCTTTCATTCTCAGCATCACTAATATCACACACACACACACACACACACACACACACACACACATGCACACACAAAATTAATTAAATTAATTAATTAATCCACCATTTTGTGTCTTTCCCAGTTCAGCACAGTCCTTTCTCACCCAGGAAAGTTAAACAGGCTAACTGGTTGACTTGCCTTTAGTTTTCCTGTCTTGATGTCAGTTTGATTTCTATACTTCAAAATGAAGCTCTTTGAAGGTAGTAAGCCAGATCATGCCACTCAGTCCTCCATGAAGATCTTTCAGTGGCTTTCCTGTTCACAAGGTCAAGTCTAGATTCCACGATCCAAGTTCTGTTGATGTTACTAGCCTTGTTCTCATTTCTCTTTCAGATCCATTTATCCCACATTTCACCAAACTCACCTAAAGGCAACAAAACATTCCTTGTGCTACTTATTACCTGTTCCTTATCCTTCCTGAGAGCTCACCCTCCCTGATCACCCTCTAGCCGGCAGAACATTCCTTTTCTATGTAGGGTACTCAATTTTTTTTTTTTTTTGAGAGTAGGTTTCACTGTTATAGCATCCCCAGCTATATATCACTATATATTACCCTCCTGAGCACTGGGGTTACAATTATAGACTTGTACCATCGTTCTTGAATTCTAAGCTAAGAACTTAATCTTCAAGAAAGACCTCCATCTTTCTAGTATAGATGGTTTAGGGCCACAGTGCGTTGGGTTGTTTTTATCTAGCATAATTCGTAGCATGCCATGAACCAGTACTTATAGGAATATAAAGCTGAAGTAAATGATGAAGTTTGCTTGAGTTACTGAATATGATGGGCAAATTGAAGGCTTAAGAAAAAGTCTATCTTTAGTCCCTCCCAGAAGTACAGTTAGAACAATGTGCACCAAGATAGGATGGGGGGAGGGGAGAGGAACAAGGGTCTACATTTACCAATTCTAGACTTACCCAAATTCTATTTTTTTAACCTCTTTTTTTTTGGGGGGGGTCTGGTCATGGGGCTGAACGCTGTCCCTCAGCTCTTCAGCTCAAAGCTAGAGCTCTACCACTTGAGTCACAGTGCCACTTCCGGCTTTTTTATGTGGTGCTGAGGAATCGAACCCAGGGCCTCATGCATGCAAGGCAAGTGCTCTACCACTGAGCCACCTTCCCAGCCTCTATTTTTTTTTTTAAACCCTAGATGGAATAAAACTGTTGTCTGGCAAATGTATCTTTGGTCTGATTGCAGGGTACTTTATTAGTGTCCAGTGGCAGGATTATCTCATAGGATCCATGTCAAACTCATGTAGACTAGCACATTCTCAACAGCTAGTTTTATCTAGGAGACATTTTCACTTTTCAGTTCTGTCTTCACATATGTGGATCTTTGTCAATGGAAGAAAAAGAAGTAAAAATAGCAAAGAATTGTCAAAACAAAAAAAAAAAACCCTCAGCAATCTCATTCAAACTTGAGTGCTTTTCAGTTTTACCTTGCATCTACACTTGTGTGTGTGTGTGCCTGTGTGTGTGTACTGGTCCTGGGGATTGAACTCAGGGCTTGGGTGCTATTCTTGAGCTTCTTTTACTCCAAAGCTAGCACTTTGTCACCTGAGTCAGAGCTTTATTTCTATGTTAATTGTTTTTGTTTTTTGTAGTTTATTGGAGGTAGAGAATCTCATGGGCTTTCCTTCTTGGGCCTGCTTTGTACCTGGATCTTCAGATTTCAGCTAGGATTAGAGGTGTAAAAGATTTCAGCTAGGATTAGAGGTGTGAGCCACCAGTATCTGGCTCACCTATATATTGTAATACTGGTACGTGTGATACTTTGTATTGTATGTATTATACATTTCCCCAGATTTCTCCCTCTTGCTACAGTAACTATCTTTGGATGTCATAACATTTGCTTCTTTAAATCTTTTCTCTTAGGCGAGACTCTCAGGGAATGGATTTATAGGGTCAGAGAATGTAAAAAAATTATAAAATTTGCCTTGGAGCTGTCTCTTTTTATGAAAGGGTTACACTGAAAGGGGATAGGAATCTGAAAGCACAAGACTTTTTAATACCTCAGCAGATTGGCAAGAGTAGCGAGACAAAGGGAGGGTTATGTGTGTGAAAGTTAATTTTCAAGTATAGAGAAATAGTTTTGTCAAAGATGGTGTATGTAAATACTTTTCTTTGTTGTCTTTTGTTTTTTGTTGGTCAGTATGAACTTGAACTTGAGGCCTGGACACTGTCCCTGTGCTTTTTTTTCTCTCTCTCAAGGCTAGTAGTGCTTTATCACTTTGAGCCACAAAGTCACTTCCGGTTTTCTAGTGGTTAATTAGAGATGAGTCTCAAGTACCTTCCTGCCCGAGCTGGCTTTGAGCCATGATCCTTAGATCTCAGCCTCCTGAGTAGTTTATAGGCATGAGCTACCCATGTCTGGCAACACATAAATACTTTTTAAATAGTAAATAAAAGTTTGTATCCATTACAACTCTTGAGTTAACTTTGAGGCTTTTAGAAACTCATTCTTTTTAGTTATAACATTCAAGAGCTGAGCACATAAGTTGAATTATTGAAAGTCTTGCTAGAATTTGTAGCTTTTAAAACCGTGTATTTTGATGCTGTGTCTTAGCCTGTGTTGGGAGATGTCTCTGTAGTTCATGCTTTCTGTAGGATTGGAGAGAATGTGTTTTACTGCATCATAAAATAAGCACTTTATAAAGACCCTTGTGAAAAAGTTATATGCTTTAGTGTCACAGACTGTTGTGCTTTTCCAGAGTGTGTGGTTTATGTCTAATGAAAACTCTGTCAGTAGTGTATACAGGTCATGTTTCAGTGGCTCAGAGCCCAGATTGTCATCTCCTTCTAGTCTTCCCTTTTAGAGATAGTTTGGAGTCAGATTTTGTCAGATCTGCATTCTTCAGAGATAAAGTATGTTTAGGCCTTGCATAAAACATTCCAGTTTAAATATAGTTATTAATGATTGCTTTTATTCTACTTATCCCTTTGAACATTTCTAGTTGAGAATTTTGTTCCACTAAAATGCTAAGGAACAGAGAATACTTTATCTCCTCTAGATGATTATGCAAGTCACTTAAAAGCAAACTAGAATGGAATACAAAAAACATTACAGATTAAAATGCAAGGTATTTGAATTTACAGAGATATTTTTAGATGGAGATACTAATTAAAATATTTTAATTTTTGTTTTCTAAAGAATAAGAATATAGAGACTTTTGAGTCTGTACTTTTAAGTCTGCTGTAGTGTTTAATATATGCCATGAATATGTATTCTGTTCTTTTAAAGCCAATATATAGTTAAATAGCAGAACACTGCCCCAGCTTATTTGACATGGGTAATAGTTTTGCTGTGGCAAGCTCTTACAGGGTTATTCTGTTTTCTGTGTTCAAACCTTGATGAGAAATCTTTCAATGAGTTATTTCTGCTGTTTTTAAGAAATTAAACTAGTATTCATCTCCTACCCCACCCTCAGGTCATTTGGATCCAGGATTCCTAACAAGTGACAAGACATCTGGCAATGCACCACTTAATGAAGAAATTAATATTGCCTCTTCAGATAGTGAAGTAGAGATTGTGGGCGTTCAGGAACATGCAAGGTAGGTTATTAATTGGTAGTATTTTGGCATTTTAAGTTGTGGATTTTACTTTAATTAGGAAATAAGTGATTAGAAAACAGTGGATTTCATGGTATGACTAGCATTGAAAGGTGGAATTCTATCATTTTTTTTTGGTCTTAAACATTTTATTAAGATAGGGTATGAGCTTCAGAATGTGTTGCATATTGTCTTATATTAAGAATATCTCAAATTGGATGCTGGTGGCTCATGCCTGAAATCCTAGCATTTTAGGAGGCTAAGAGCTGAAGATCATTGTTCAGAACCAGCCTGGGCAAAAAAGTCCATGAGACTCTTACTTCCGATTAATTACTGAAAAGACCAGAAGTGGAGCTGTGGCTCAAGTAGTAGAACACTACTAGTCTTAAGCAAAAAAGCACAGGGATGACACCCAGGCTTTGAATCCAGTACCCAAAACAAACAAAAATACCTCAGTCATAGATGTATGTGAACAAGAGCTGAGTTTTTAAAACTTTTAGTTTAAACAGATAGCTTGACAGATTTTTCTCTTAAAGCAGAAGTATCGCTGCTTTTCACCTCATTCTTTCTTGGCTTTCATGTTACTTTGAAATACATTGGGAATAAACAACTGGGAAGGAAATGCATTAGAATCATATCTTTTATAATTAAAAAAACCCACAGTTGACTCCAGTCAATTTGTTAACAATTTTATGAAGTATTGCATTTTTTAGGGTAGGAGTGAGCCATCTATGGTAATAGGCTAAATCTGGCCTGCCTCCTGTTTTTCTATGTTTGAAATTTTAGAACAGTTTCTACCCTTTAATTTGTGACATGTGAAAAATTACATGATATTCAAATTTCAGTGTTAAGGTTATGCTAATGGAGTCATGCTAGTTCATTTTGGATATCATCAGTGGCAGAGTTTATATGACCTCAAAATTTTAAGATAAAATCATCTAACCGTTATTGGAAAAATTTCTACCGATTGTTTTAATATATGTTCATCAGCATTGGTTTTGGCTTTTTCGTAAGTGTTCTTTGGATTCATTCATTTTGTAGACGTGTTTGAACCATTTCTGAACTAACTTGAGTGACTTTAGCTACATTTTAATTAGTTAATGTTTTTTTGAGGGAAGTGGTACTGGAGTTTGAACTGAATGCTTTGTGATTTATAGGTACTCTACTGGTTGAGCCATGCTTCTAGCCCTGGTACTAGGGTTTGAACTCAAGAGTTTTGTGCTTGCTAGGTAGGTGTACCTTTGAGCCTTGCTTCCCAGTCTTTTTTGCTTTAGTTATTTTCAGGTAATGTGTTGGCTTTTTTTTCGCCAGCTAGCCTTGAACCATGATCCTACAAATTTCTGCCTCCGAATTAGCCAGGATTACAGGCGTAGGCCCCCACATCTGGCTAGCTACATTTTCAATTTTATGTAGAACATTACTTTCAAGGAACTTTTTTTTTTATAGCTATGAAGCATCAAGCTGTGATTACTTCTAACCCATTGATTTTAATCTTGGGGGAAACGTATTCTATAGGTGACAGATCCATTTGGAAGTCTCAGTGGTACTATTTTCCGTATAAAAGATTGTAGAGTTCATAGATTCTGTTGGAGTATTTTCAACTAGTCCTATAACATTTTAATGTTACAGGATTTTTAATGGGATCTTTTGGTTTAGAATTGTGTAGAGAGAGTCTCACTTGACTCCACTATCTTTCTAAAATTTTTCAGTTGTTTGTATAGAAGCAGCCTGTTAATCTAAGATACTAGGAAGCAGGTAGGCAAGAGACTTTCTTGTTGGTTGCTTCAGAGTTGCCCCTTTAGGTGCTTGCATCTCATCTGGAATTTATTTCTTTTACAGGTCTAGGGTTGCAGTTATGAAGTATTGATGTGCTTCTGGCAGGGTTATCGCTTGGAAAAAGGTTTTAGGTTTTAACCAACATCTTTTTGGTTCTCATTTGATTTGCATGTATAGATGTTTTGTTTGGACTTAGTTGTCCTATTCTTACTTTTGCTTTTGATATTCTACATTGCTGTGAGTTTTCCAAGAGTTTTAAAATTCAGACTTGGTCCTTGAGTTGTTCTCTTTGGGATTGTGTTGCTTTGGTTTGTGTTGAATGTTATTTCTCCATATTGGAAGAATTTTTTTTTTGACTTTTGCACTCAGTAATTATAGTTCTGATATGTCTCCCATTTGATAAAGTTCTTTTTCTTGCATGCTAATATATCTCTTTGTTCTTTTATTTTGGATTTTGATGTGTCTACTTAGCATCTGTTTCTTGTAGTCATTGATTAGAAAGCATGTTTCTGAACTAATGGTTTAATGCATCCTTTATGGCTGCCTTATATTGCTGTGGTGAGCTCCTGACATCTAATTTGTTATCATTCCAGATGGTCATTGTTGGACAGTCGAGTTTCACAAGATGTTCCTTGCTAGTAAGATGAAGACTTTCCCAATCTCTCTTGTTCTTCTGTGTCTATTTAATTTTACCTGAAGTTTATGACTCTCATGTCAATATTTTTTCTTGTACTTAGTCTTTTTTCCTATTCTTTTACTAGCCTTATTGATAATTTTCTTAGGAAGAAACATGCATATACTGTAGTATAGATCTTTCTTTTATGAGACAGGTTTTTTGTGTGTGTGTGATAAATACCCAGGGTTTTTGGGAATAACCAGATTCAATTAGTGTGTTAATCCTAAAGTCATTATTGTTCATGTTGGTTTGTCCCTCAGCAAGTGAAATTGACACAGAAGGTTTTGTATTTAAGACTTAGAGCTCCATCGAGCCAATTGTTAACATTGGCCCTACAAAATCTAGGGAAGGAGACCTAGATTTCATTAAAATCACAAAGTTTTGTTTCATTTTCAGTTAGAAAAGTAAGTAGGAATATTTTCTAAAAGGTTCCCTTCAGGCTCTGTGAACAGAGCAAAAATGATTAATTTTTAATATTGTTTTCTTAGACTTAGTGAGCTAAGTAACTATATCAAAAACTGTTCATCAGAGCGTACTGTTTTTCTGTTTTGTTTTTTTCTTTTCTGTTGTGAAACCTTTCCTGTATTTGTTTTATTATATAAAAAGCAAGAAATCATTCTACCAATTTCTAGCATTTTGGGAAATGAGGTAGGAGCTTTTTTTTTTTTTAATTTATTTAAAAGTAAAACCAGGGAGGTGGCATGCGTGTGTAATCTCAGCACTCAGTAGGCAGATGCAGGAGGATCTGAAGCTCAAGGCCAGCCCCAACTACATAGCAAGACCCTACCTAAGAAAGAGCAAGAATGGGAGAAGAAGGACGGGGTGCAGAGGGACAGGGAGGAGAAAGCCAAAAGGACAGAACACCTTAATATATTTATAGTTTGTTTCATGCCTGTGCGTGTTAATGCTGCATGAGAACAAAGCATTAAAACCCTGCTAGAGCTTGGCACCAAGGGCTCATACCTGTAATCCTACATACTCAGAAGGCTAAGATCTGAGGATGATGGTTTGAAACCAGCCCCGGCAGGAAAGTCCATGAGACTCTTGTTTCTATTTAACCTCGAAACAAAGTTGGAAGTAGACCTGTGACTCAAGTGGTGGAGTGCTAACCTTGAGCAAAAAAAAAGTTTAGGGACAGTGCCGGAGCCCTGAGTTTCAAACCCCAGTACAAGCTCCAAAAAACCCCAACCACAGCAACAAAAAACTCCCCACTAGCTATATGTTCTCCTACCCTACTCCATCCATAATACAGAAAAGCATATGGGATAAGGTACGCAGGTCTGCTTTTTATGTTGCATAACAAAAGTTGAACACAAGGGACAACTCTACAGGACTTACAGCAACGCTTGCCCTACATCTTCCTTTTTTTCTGGTGAATTCTCTATTGTTATACTTGCCTTATTAAAAATAGTTGAGCCCGGTGCCAGTGGCTCACGCCTGTAATCCTAGCCACTCAGGAGGCTGAGATTTGAGGATCACGGTTCAAAGCCAGCCCGGACAAGAAAAGTCCGTGAGACTCTTATCTCCAATAAACCACTAGAAAACCAGAAGTGCCGCTGTGGCTCAAGCAGTAGAGTACTTGCCTTGAGCTGAAGAGTTGAGGGATAGCTCCCAAGCCCAGAGTTCAAGCCCCATGAAATACTCGGAATGTTTTTCCAGTACCATTCTATTTATTGTACTTTTAAAGCGATTTATTTATTTAATTTATTTATTTTTGTGGTATTGGAGCATAACAATTGCCTTTTGCTTGTAAAACAGATATTCTACCACTTGAGCACCACCTTAGTCTCTTTTGGTTCTGGGTTTTTAGTGTCTTGCTTTTTGCCTCAAACGATAATCCTTCTACCTGTGCCTTTGGAATGCCTAGGATTACAGGAGTGTACCACTATACTCTACTTGTTGGTTCAGTTGATAGCCTCAGTTTTTGTCTAGGTTGACATCAAACACAGATTCTTCTTGTCTTTCCCTCCTGAGTTGCTGGGTTATACCATGAGCTACCTTGTTTGGCATCTGGCAAGTTTTTGTTTCTTTGTTGCTGTTTTATTTCTGGATTTGTATCCTGTACTTAAAAGACAATGTGTCAAGTAAAGCTGGGGAATATAGTTTAGTAGCAGAGCACTTGTCTAGCAGTGTCTGTACTTGATCTCCAGTACTATCTCTCCCCTCTCTCTGTCTCTGTCTCTCTCACGCACACGTGCGTGCATACACACACACAGACACACAAATGTGCTTTCTATTGTGTGTCTAAGGTTAAAAAATGTGCTAAAAGGCTGGTTCTGGTTCTATTCTTTTACCTACTTCCTATCATTTTGTTCAGAGTGATTGAGGCAGTTAAGCCATTAAAAATTTAATGTTCATTGGCTTATAACACAACGACTTTATAATATTCCACTGGCTTATAGCACATTATAGTGTGAGCTTTAAGTTTTACACACTGGTCATCTCCAGCAACCAGCACTCAGATCAAGATACAGAAAGTTCTCTTGTGCTACCTTCCTCTCACAAATTTTGTTTTCTATTTCCCCCTCCTGTAAGTACTATCCTGACTTCCAACAGGATAGTTTTCCTTGTTTTGGTCACAAATCTAAGTCACTGATGACTGTAGAGGTCACTCATTTTATCATTTCTTTAATCCTGACATTTGCTCTAGCAGTTATTTGAATGGTTAGAAGCAAGTGTGGTTGCCTAGACAGAATGGTTATTCTGTTGAGTAGTGACGTATTGTTGTGTAGAAATAATCATCCAAAACTTGACTTCTAGTAATTGATTGTGGCACTTCTGCCTTTGAGATCTCTGGACATGGATTTATCTTTCAAGGGAGCTCCCCACCTCTGACTGATTCTCTTTTGGGAACTATCCTCTTATTAAAGCTAAATAGGGCCAACACAGGTTTGGACCAGAGAAGACTATCACATGCTTCTGAGAATCTCAAAATTTGAAGAGAAAGAGACTTAGAGGATTGGGACTTGTGCCATCAGTCTTACATTTTTTACAGAATACCTAGTGTCTTCCTAATAATTCCCCATTTTTGTTTAAAGTAGCTTAACATGGTTTCTGAAAACTAGAATCACTTATATCTACAGAAGTAATCTATTTAGATAGTTGACAGAGTGCCTTATCTCTTCATTCTTCTCTCCCACAGCCCTTTCTCAATAGTAAACTTGATATTTAAACCTCTCATTCAGTCTTCTTCCTATACCAGACACTATAGGATCTGTTTTGCTTTTATCAAATGCCCTTTATCAAATGTCCTTTTATCAAAAGCCAAGCATAGTTTAGTACTTTAAATATATTATAGTCTGAGGAAGGCGTAGCTATGTACTGGAAAATGACCCCTTTAATGGAGGCATGATGAGATCCTTTTTAAAATCCCAATATTATATAGTGTTATTACTTAGGGAGCAATATAGAGTAACAATTGGGACTATATCCCTTTATTACTATGAAGATATTACTAGAAATTCTGTGAAAGATTGCATTAACTTTCTTGGTAGCCAAGTTTTCCCTGAATTCTTAATGCAGTTCTAACCAGCATTACTTCAGTTAGTGTATATACAGACGAGCTTTTGAACTCTGGGAAAACCTTACTTTGTTAATTTAGGTCTTCTTTTGTATTCTGTTGATATCTTGATATGTTCTATCTCACCAAAAAAAATCCTTCACACACTAAGAAGGTGACAACATAATATAGAAAGTATTGAAGCTGAAACAGACCTACCTTGAAGTTCATTGGCCTACTATTTCACTACTATAAGCAATGTGACCTGACCTGAGCAAATCAACCTCAGCCTCAGTTTTCCTTTCTGTAGTGTGTGGATAATAACCTCTATTCTACCTCATAGGTCTGTTGGAATTGTCAAAAGAGATAATAGATATAAAACTGCAATAAACAGTATTCTGTTGTCAGTCATCAAATTGATGTCTTTTTGTTGTTGTTGTTGTTGGTTGTAGGGCTTGAACTCTGGTCCTGTGTGCTGTGTCTGAGCTCTTCAGCTCAAGGCAAGCACTTAGCCACAGCACCATTTTGGGGTTTTCTGGTGATTAATGGAGATAAGAGTCTCACAGACTTTCCTGCCTGGTCTGGTTTTGAACCACAATCCCCATATATCAGCCTACTTAGTAGCTAGGATTACAGGGATGAGCCACAGGTACCCTGCTCAAATTGATTTCTTTTTCTGGCATTTTTCCATGAGTACATGGTCACTTAATCTTATCTTGATGGGTTGGATGGTTTTGGGTTTGACATTGAACTTTATGTCCTTTATTTTAATGCTCAACTAGGTAATCTTTGAAAATGTAGTAGGCTCTGGCTTAGTAGCTGTTTTTCATGTTAACAAATGTTAACAGGAACAAATCTCCACTCAGAACAAATCTGTGTTCTTCCCTATGCTCTGGAGCCACAAGGAGATCCACTCCTTAGACTCTTAGCTTTCAGGCTAGCCTTCGAAGGAACAGGGCATTTTCCTGGGGACTTCAACATCTTTGGACAGTTTTTTGTTTTGTTTTGTTTGTCATGGGGCCTGAACTCTGGGTGTTGGCGCTGTTCCTCAGCTCTTCAGCTCAAGTGTAGTGCTCTACCACTTGAACCACAGCACCACTTTGTTTTTTTCTGCTTATGCAGTCCTGAGGAATCGAACCCAGGGCCTCATGCATGCAAGGCAAGTACTCTATCACTGAGCCACCTTCCCAGCCCCATTTGAACAGTTTTTTAAACTGATTCTTGTTAGTTGCTACCCTTTGTTCTTTTGAACCTGGTAATGCAAGTAGTTGTAAACCAAACTTAGACATCTCCAGAGACCATGGTGCTCATTTTAGAATACTTTTCAGAACAGCTGCTCAGGAGCCACTATAGTAGTTTATGTGATGAAACTTGTGCCACTTGTTACTTCTCCCATATGCTAAGAGAGTACGAGTCAGTAATTTGATGTGAGTGTAAGTAGTTTGAGCATCCTGCCTTCCTCTCATGAGTCAAAACTCTCTGTACTTCTCGAAGAGGCTCACACTTCTATCGTTTTACTGCAGCATTCAATTCAAGCTGTCAGTATTTCTGAAACAATTTTTTTCCCCATTGAACTCTTGGTGTGATTTGTCAGCAGACAAGTCTTGTCCCTATCAAAGGTCCTTTTAGGGAGTGCACCCACCTTGTTACTTTCACTGAAACAAACAGGAGCAGTTCTGCTGAGTGAACCTAGTGTTTCTGTTATGACACTTTCAGGAGAAAGGAATCGATCCTTTATGCAGGAACAAATAGTTACAGACTTTTTTGGTTTTACTGTCACTTTAAAAGTATTATTTACCCAAATATGTTGTAAGACAGATTTTACTTGTTTTATTTCATTTTCATTTGTTACAAACTAAGATCGAGTAAATATTTACCTGTTATGAAGATCATAGAGATTTAAATGTGTCCAGAGAAACATCACCTAACCCAGTGTTAGTGACAGAGGTAGGCACAACTCAGGAGCTGATGGAGACAAGGCTCTCAGCCTCATTACAGCTGAAGTGGGAGAGAAATGAAAGGATAGTGGTGGTACCTTTGAGGCAGACAGACATGGATGAGGAAGAGGAGAAGGGTTTATTGATTGTGGGGTTCATTAAATTGCATAATTAGGTCTAGTAAAAATATTTTTCAGTACAAGTGTGGTCATATTGTCTTGCTATACTTTTTCCTTTACTCAATTACAGGTGTGTTCATCCTCGAGGAGGTGTGATTCAGAGTGTTTCTTCATGGAAGCATGGCTCTAGCACACAGTATGGCAACACCCGGCAGACACAGTCATGGACTGCTGTGGCTCCTCAGCAGACTTGGGCTTCTCCAGCAGAAGTTGTTGACCTTACCTTGGATGAGGATAGCAGACGTAAATACCTACTGTAATACAATGTCACTGTGTCTCCTCTGCACTGTTCCCTTTCACTTCCTCTTCTTCTTTGTGACATGGAAGTTCATTGTCATAGCTTCAGCTTCAGAAGCTGTTTGTGGCATTTGTAGAATTGAAACTCATGGAATCCCTATTCCCCTCCCTCCCTCCCTCTTTCTTCTTTAAATTAAAAGAAGTCATTTAGGAAAACAACTTACCACAAAAAATAATTTCTTTTTTCACTCATTAAGAACATATAATAATTACTTTTTATTAAACACCTTCATTTTGTTTGGTGACTTTAAAAGGTCACCTTCCTTTTGAAATAGTACTTTAATTGCCAGGTAAAGTGTATTTTAGTTTTTTAATCTTGTATTTATTTTTTTCTGTAATGACAATATCCAGAATTGACCACTATCTACCCGCTTCACAATCACTCACCTTAGGGCATTTGCACATGTCATTCAGGTCCATATGGGCACTTGTGGGGCATGTATACTTAAAAATAGAACACAGAAGTGTTACAATTCTTCTTTTTTTCTTTTATCTTAAGTATTCTGACTTCTTTCCTGACTTTGTACCTGGTTGACTTCCCAGAACACAAATAATTGGCTTGCCGTTTTTGATTTCTAATACTAGAAAGGTGACTTAGTTGGTCTCCTTGTTGCAATAATTCATAATAACTCTTTGGAAAATGTCTCATTTGGAGCAGAGGCATTTTTGGAAAACCTACCATGAGGTTTCCTAAGCATCTGAAGAGAGGATTGAGAAATCAGTGGGAAAATCTCTTTCCCTTAAGCTTTTCTCCCTGGTTTATCCAAATAACTGGAGAACATAGAAAGCTATTACTTAGGAAAACTATGAAAAGTTATGTGATTTATGAAGCTATAGGCACTTGCAAATGTGAGAGGAAAGTGCCTTGTTTCATAGCTTGTCTCTCCATAGAGTGTTTAACAACTGTTGAACTGGACCTGATGCTGTATTCGGACATTTTTCTCCTCTATCTTGTAAAAGTATATATACTATAAGAGAAATCACAATATAACATAAAAAGTCAGATGCAAAGCACATTAATGGAACTGTAAGTCTTATAGATCTAAAAGGAATAGCAAAAGGTAGTAGAAACTTCAGGGAATTAAAGAAATGCCAGCATAGGAGTTTTGTGGCATTAGTTGCTACCTTTTTTCCTGTGACATGTTGTAGTTACTAGTGAATTATTTTAAAAGCAATACCTAGAATTAGACACTATGTATTCTGCACAGGGAGGAGTGAAGTATTTATTGGCTCAGAAGACTTCACCTTTTTTTTTTTTTTAATGTTTGGGTTTGCTTTTTTTGTTCTTTGTTTCCATTGTTACCATATGTCATTGCTCTGGCCTTGTGCCTCTCTTCCCAAATGCCTTGGTGGCTCTTCCTGATCATAAGAGTATGAGAACTACTATTTTCTGTTTCCATTCAGTGAACACATACTGACCAAGTGCCTGCTCTGCATAAACACTATGCAGGGTGGGCACTGTGGAGGCCGCTGAGATGAATGAGACACAGCCTTGCATGTGCATGCATGAAATTGCCTGGCTCTGCTTGCCTGGCCTTTTCTTCTTTTTCATAGATAGACAAGTTTATTCTTTTCTGTTTCTTTTCTATATGTTGCTTCTTCCATGGGGGATGTATTTGAGCATGTGTTCCTTAATCTTCTCTGACAGAATCTCACTTGATCTGGCCTCTGTTCTTCACTAGTGCTTCATTTTTCCCTCTATCTACTTCGAATGAATCAGGCATACAAGGCCATGTATTAGCACATCGTACATCGTTCTCTCACATGGCCACAATCCTAGATAGAAACCAAAGACCCAGAGGCCAGAGCAAAGCAGGACCTTCTTAAGATTTACTATTGGTATATCCTTGGGCCTTCACAACTTGATTTAGGATTAATTTATTGAGTTTTACTGTTACACGTACATTGTTTTTTACTTGAATTAAAATACTCAACAAAGCAGAAATGTATAATTTCTGGTCTGTGTTTTCCAGGAAAATCATTGGTAAGAGAGTAGAGTGTATGACTTGAAGTTTTTGTAGTTTATTTCTCATCCCCCCTCATCCCCACCCACCAATATCAGGGCATAGCTCCATTTTAAAGAATGTTTTTGTATTACCTATTTTCATGTTAATCGTGTATTTTGTCCAATCCTATGCAGTGGATGATTGCTCATGACATATTTTCTTTAGTCCTTAGTAGTCACCCTCTGAAAACTTTTCAATGTGCTTTGTGCACTGTGGATTGGGGACAGAGTGGAGTTACAACTGAGCTCTTTTCTGGCCTTTTAAGCTTTCATATAAGGCACTTTTCCCTTCACTTCTTTTTCTAGTTCCCTGTCTATCTGGCTTGATGCACCAGAACAGAGATTTAGGCATTAAGATATGAAAAGAGATGGGATGCAAGGAGATGTTAGAGACAGCTTTCTCCCATCTTATATTGGGACTTGTTCGCCTAGTAACTAAATGAGAGTATGTTCCAACTCTTCTTTCATTGCTGTACCCAGAAGAGAGCAAGATGATTTCAGGCAAAGTGTTAATGATAACATTCTGTGATATACGTCTCCCATATTTGAAATTTCTTTTCAAGGGATTGCTTTCTTAGCCAAAGTTTCTTATTTGGTAGCATAAAGAACTAATTATGCTTCCAAAGAACATTGTTCAAAATAATACTTCTGTGGTGCATCTGGGTCATAGATTGGTTTATGATACCAACTTGGTTAATTTTCCTCCCCATCCAGTTTGAAAAAACATCATCATTATAACTGCCCTGTAACTTAAGGTTGCTGCTCTTCAGTTTTTTTTTTTTTTTATTATTTTGATCATAGGGGTCTGATTAAATAGACTCCATTATATATAACTGGGTATCCCATAAACTGCTTTGTCATCATTTGTGAACACGAACCACCTGACTTGTTAATTTAGTCATTTGTTCATCTTTTAACAGATTAGCATCAAGGGTAACTTAATGTTGCCTGCTTTTCATACTGTGTCACAAGGTTCTTGAAAAAGCCTGGGACACACTTTTGTCTTTTTGTTTTAACCTTTTCTTTTTGAAGGCAGAGTTGAGCTCCCATCCCTGTTCCCCAAGATGTGTATGATGTGACTTCCATGTATATAAAAGTGATTGCACCCTAACCAAACTTCCTCCAATTGTGCACTGTTTGTTTAAAATAATCACATATTTTAGTCCAGTACTGTTGTTATTTTTTCCATTTTATTTAAAACACTACTTACTCTTTTTAACAAGTTTTAAAGGGTAGTGATCTTAAAAAAAATCACTGGATAACTAGGAATTTTTTTTTTTTTTTAAGAGCACAAAGGTTGTTGAACCTTTTGCTCCACTTACCATGAACATAAAATGTCAGCCATTGTATGGCTAGGAACCAATGCACTTGGTGGTTAACAGATCTGCTGTTGCTGGCGTTTGAGTATGAACTTGATGCAGTGACGACAAATCATTGCGTAGAAGTAATGTTTTCAAAATGTGCAACTCTAGTTTTAAAATGAAATTTGGTTCTTTACATTCATTGTTTAGTTTTTGTTTCCATTTAGTATTTAATGGTCTTTGGAGAAAAAAAATAATAAAACAGAGTGTTATATATATTTTTTGGTGCAAGATAAGATTTTCTGTTTTTTGAAATAAGTCTGTTAGCATAAAGGTTAAACTATTTTAAGACAAAATAAAAATAGAGTATTTAAACAATGATATTTTCTGAGGATTTTTTGTTTGTTTGTTTCCTGCTTCAGTTATTAAGTGGCGTCTGGAGATGTTCCCAAGTTACCCTTTGGATGTGAAAATGAGCTATATTTTGTAAATAGACCATTACAAGATGCCTGGTATTCTAAGCAGTAGCTGATTCCTGTTCCTCAGATTTTTGGCCAAGTAGCCTGTGATATGTTGGCACTAGGTGAAAATAGCTTTGTATTAGTTCCTGTAGCCCCACCTTCTCTCCAGCTAGGACCAATAAAGTTTAAGAGAAAACTGAAGGCTTTCTGTTGCTGGATACCTTAAATTCATCTGCTGGTTTCTTCCCAGAGACTGGTGTGCCCAGGACAAGATGCCACAGCTGCATGAACTTTGCACATGGTTGAACCTTGAAGCAAGTATAAGGTGTTTCAAAAATAACCCCACCAACTTTCCCCCTGGTTTCATTCTGTTTTCAAACTGGTTTTTATTTGATTATCAAGGTGAAAGGAACTGCCATATTAACGTTTTATGACCAACAACTTCACAAGAAGAACCATGAGAAGCAAGAAGAGAAAGGGAGGGAGGGAGAGGGAGAGAGAGAGATTTGTCCTAATTAAAACACCCAACTCTTGAATGTCTCAGTTTTCCCTGTGAATTTTTGGTTTGTTTTGAACTGAAAAGAGATTTATTAACAACTGAGAAGTGAACTATTAACAAGTAAGAAATATTCTTGTATGTTTGAAGTGTTTCTTTTATACTACCTGTGTCTGAGACCTAGACAAACTGGTGCCTATGAGGGACTCTTTTTTGCTAGAAGAAAATTGTTCCTAGGACCCCACTTTTGAATTCTTTGGCCCTTGGGTGTTGGCTTTGAAGAACAGAATAGGAACAAGTAAGTAAAACAATCTGTACTAGTACTTTATCTCACGGGGTTCGTCATTCTATTCTTTACTGGCTTTTGGCCCTTACTGGCTTGCATTTCACAGTAGATGCCAGCTATCTACAGTCTCAACAGAAAAATTAGATAAATCTTTACTAAGTGTGTGTGTGTGTGTGTGTGTGTGTGTGTGTGTGTGTGTGTGTCTTCAGCTTCATTATTGCAACCAAAATAAGATGAATTTCTTCAGGCTTTTATTTTAAGCCTTTTTACTGCTCAGTGGCATGGCCCTTCAAGATTATCAGTAGGTATGATTTTCTTCCCTGTTAATGCACCAAATTAGGAAAATTTCCAATAGAACTTTGAGAATATGCCTGGAGCAAAAGAAGGTGATACAAAGATTGATCATGAGTATCAGTGAAAGTCACATGGCACACCCATTTGCCCAAGGTGGGGAGGGTGGGTGTATGATGGGGATTGTGGTGGTTTCTTTCTGCCAAGCCTGGTATCCCACTTGGTAGAGTGACTGTGTAAAGGATTGGAACAGTGCTGGCAGCAAACCATAGCAAGGATGTGTGGCAGCAGCAACTGGTGTGATCTGCCTTGGTAAAATTTATCTATTATCTATTTAGCTTCTTGAAACTCTTCAGTGAGAGAAGCTCTTGGGGATTAGCTTTATCCATTGTGTACCTGTTCTCTTTCTGTGACAGTTTCATGTTGAGAGGAAAAAGGTGAAGTGGTATGGACTTTGAGCCCTTGCTCTTGTGGCTGATTCTAAAGCAAGTACATCTGACTTCAAGGTGGATATTGCAGCAGAGGGGATCAGACCAAAGGCTAAAAGTCTGACCCAGGAATCGGGAGACCCCAGAAAGGCCACATCCCTGCCAAAGGATTTAGTGTCTGTACCTATAAGATAAAGAATCTCCTTGGGTTCTTTCCTGAAATGTTGAGCTGTCATTTTAGAGGATAACTTACTGTTCAGCAGAGCAACCAAGCTTTTCAGGCAGGAACTCAAGAGAGCTGCTCACTCCAAAAATCTGTTCAAAGAACTACAGTTTCTTTCTCTCACTAACACCCACATAGTCTTGACTATCTACGAACTCTTTATTTTCAAAGTTTTGAAAGAATGTTTATTTCAAAATTTCCACATGGAGTAAGAAAAATAGTACAGACTGTTACCCTAATTTTACAGATTGGAAAATTGAGAACAGAAAGAGTAACAACAGTTACCCAAATTCCCATAGCTTGATTTGCAAGAGCAGCCTTCTACAAATTAGGACTTTTTTAACTTTAAGGGAAAGAAAACATTGAAGAAAAAAATACACATTTTTCTGCCTGTTTTCCTTCATTCTTTTAGCTACTTTACTGTGGCCTCAGAAGAATTAAATGTCTTCCTGAGTAGGTAATATTTGACTGGTTTTCTTCTCTTAGCAAGTCACAGATTTAAACATACTCCATCAGAACCACATATCCGATGCATCTCAGCTCAGGATCTGGGGTAACCACAGAAGCTTTTACTATACATAGATTCGCAGAGTTTATAGAATACGAGAATACATATGGGCAGTAAAAATCCAGAAAAGGTGTTTGGACTGGCTTCTAATTATGCAAATAAAAACTTGTATTGCAGGATGGTATTTCACATAGGTAGGGATGCATTTGAATCCAATGAGAAGATAGGACAATGGAAACTGCTTATCTGTGTATTTGGAGCATAATTTGCTTTGGCAATTAAGAAAACTGGAATTGTCTAGCAAAGCCGAATGTCTACGTACTCCATAGCTGAGCAGTTCCACTCCTTGCAGTTATATCCTGCGGCAGGGCCCGGCTGTGGTTGCAGCCTATGTCAGGGAGTTTTGCAGTCATTTCAGTGTCATTTATAACCCAGTTTTTATTACTTCCTTTAAGGAAAGAGGCTAACAGAAAATAAATAGAGACAGTAGTATCACATGCAGCTTGTTTGTTAGATACTGGTACATATACACAAAAAGCTACAAGATACATACATATGCGTGTACACACACACACAGGAAAGCTCAAAATGTAAAATGTATTTTTAACTGTGGATTGTAGTTTAAAAGAAAAGATGCGGGAAGACATGATTTTGGGGAAAACTAGTTTGTGTGTTCAAAATGCTTGGTGTCACTTTTTCTAGGTTTTGCTATTTCAGTGTGTATTCATCAAGAGGGTGGAGATACGGTCAGTTTACATAGTACTAAACCACCATGGAAATTAACAAACTAGAACTCTATAAGTAGATTAATCCTAGCAGTGTAGACTGGAGAAGAAGCAAGTTGAAGAATATATATGCTGACATTTATATGAAAAATTTAAAAAGTAAAAACAGTACTGCATGTTGATAAAGGATACCCTCATAAGTAATAAGAGCAAAATGAGACATAAGAATGATAAACACTGGGGGGCGGGGGGAGGCTGGGAAGGGATGTGAAGGGTAAACAAAGGAGGAGGCTACAATGCTGGATAGGAAATGTACTCATCTTGCCCATGTAATTGTAACCCCTCTGTACAGTATGTTCACAATAAAAAAAAAGAATGATAAACACTGAATTAAAGGTATAGCTATTCCTCTACTTTTGGAAAAGGAAGGTTAAAAAGGTCAAGGACTTCAACTTTATTGGTAAAATTTCTTCATTTGGGCAGTAGGAACACAGATATATGTTATTCTTTGTATTCTTTTGTGTTTCTTGTCACACTCAGTGTTTTTTGTTGGTCGTGGGGTTTGACCTTTGGGCCTGGGCACTAGCTGCCCCTGAGCTCTTCAGCTCAAGGCTAGCATTTTATCATTTGAGCCAAAGCTCCACTTCTGGTTTTCTGGTGGTTAATTGGAGATAAGAATCTCACCGACTTTCCTGCTGGGGTTGGCTTTGAACCTTGATCCTCTGATCTCAGCCTCCTGAGTAGTTAGGATTACAGGCGTGAGCCACCAGCGCCTGGCACTTGTGTCTCTTCAATATTATATAATGAATTGAGTACAAAGAATAAAAGCTATTTTGTAGTTGGGTGTGTGTGGCTCACACCTGTAATTTGAGCTATTCAGGATGTTGAGATCTGAGGATCATGCTTTGAAGCTGGCTGGGGCAGGAAAATCTGAGACTGTTATTTCTTTTTTTTTTCTCCTCTCTTCTCCTCTCTTCTCCTCTCTTCTCCTCTCTTCTCCTCTCTTCTCCTCTCTTCTCCTCTCTTCTCCTCTCTTCTCCTCCTCCTCCTCCTCCTCCTCCTCCTTCCTCTTCTTTCCTCCTCCTCCTTCCTCTTCTTCCTCCTCTTCCTCCTCCTCCTCCTCCTCCTCCTTCTTCCTCTTCTTCCTCTTCTTCTTCCTCTTCTTCTTCCTCTTCCTCCTCCTCCTCCTCCTCTTTTCTCTTCTTCCTCTTCCTCCTCCTCCTCCTCATTATTATTATTATTATATTTAAGTAGTTGTACAAAGAAGCTCCTATCCTACAAAACAGTATATGAGTACAAGTACTGTTATTTCTGATTAACCATCAAAAATCTGAAAGTGGAGCTGTGGCTCAAGAACTAGCCTTGGGTAAAAAAGCTCAGGGACAGATCCCAGGACTAGCACCAAAAAAAGGAAACAACAAAAAAACTTTATGACTTCTTTGATGTTAGTAGAAATGAGTAAGAACTGATTCTATTTAGATTTAGAACATTTCTTAGGTATGTCACCAAAAGCACAACCAACAACAAAATATATAAAGTAGATTTTATAAAAATTAAAAGCTTTTGGGCTTCAAAGGATATACCATTAATAAGTTGAGAAGACTGACAGAATAGGAGAAAATATTTCTAAACATTAATCGGATAAGTGACTCATATCTATACTATATTAAGAACTCTTACAAGTCAAAAGAAAATCTATTTGAAAATGGACAAAGGATTGGAATAGACATTTTCCAAGGAAATCCAAAATTAGTCAATAAGCATGTGAAAAGATGCGCTGCATTAACATGCCTTCATTGCTGAACGAACCTGAAGTGAGGTACTACTT